TTCGCGTTAAATACTCATCAAATATGGAAATCTAAAATTTTGAAAATTACTAAAATTTTTCAAAAATTTTTTTTTAAATTTCGAAAAAAAATGTATTTCACATTTGAAATATTCAATGTAAAATTGTAAAAAAATAACGCAAAAAAAATTAAAAACTGGAAAAATTGAATTTTTTTCAAATTTTTTAGAGTAAGCCTGAAAAAAAATTTCTGAGCCCATGTGCAGTTTTGAAAAATTTTTTTTTTTAATTTTTGCAATATTTCTTTTGCTTGCGCGTGCCGTGACGCTAAAAAAATTTTTTACCTCAAGATTTCAAAACTAAATTCTTTAAGCATCACGATGCTTCTTTTTTTACGTCGATATCAAAATCAAAAAAAATTGGACATTTTTTTGCTACTTGGATTTTTTTTGACGAGTTTACAAGTTGCCCAGTCGTAATTGTCCGCGGCATGAAATTATAAAATGATTTGAGACATATTTCTGATGTAGGAAAAAAAATGTTAAAATGGGACCATAAATAAAAAAAGTTGCAGAGGTGGATGGTCCTTAAGCAGAATCGCTACTTGCGTCTAGTTTTAAAAAAAGGGGATGTTTGGTACTGCCTTTGCAAGTAACAAAAAAGTCAGTCGTAAAAAGAACAATTTTAGATCCACGTAAATCGACATAAACCGAGTCAAATACTCTTATTTTAATATCCTTATCTTGTACCAGTGAATCATCTCACAAAAACCCCGGACTCCATTGAAATTAAGCAGTTTCGCCTCGAAACAATGCAAACCGCTCTTCTCCCCGCCCCTGCTCAATTAATTAACCGAAATTTTACCGCGAGATACTAAAAAATAACTACTTCTGTTACTTTTAATGAATACAGCCGCGGTTCGAGGGCGGCCGGATAAAAAAGTGGGCGCAAAGAGGCCTCGGCGGGTCGTTGAAATATTCAAAACAATACCGCAGCCGTTCCCGAAACTCCGCAAAGCTCGCGAGGCCCGAATCTGATAAAAGGAAATGATTAAGTTGACGGTAGACGGAGCGGTCCCCCCGCTCTGGTGAAAACCGCATCGCGCCGGATTACGCCCCAATCTACTTTTGCATCTTTCACGCACCGATGAGATTTATTTGGACTTCATTTAAATAATTAGTCAGCCCGGAAGTTCCCGGAAGAGTGTTTTATAGCGGCTGGAAGTGTACCAGGCTCTCGCAATTAGCGGCGGGGGAGTGAGCGGCTAGGCGTAGTCTGCGCGCCGCGATTTTTTTCACGAGCTGCAGAAAGATTAATTTGCGAGATGTCATTAAGTGCATATACACCAGGAAAATTAGCGAAAATAAAAGAGAAACTTGAAAAAAGTCCTATCCGCCAGATTATTGTAAAATTGTCTAAAGGAACGTAATACCAAGATATCTCTCATCTCGTGAGTAAAAAAAAATTATTAGCTAACTTTTCTATTTAAACAAATAAGTGAGGAAAACAGTTTTTTCACTTTGCAGGGAAAACCATAAGTTTTAGCGAAAAGTGACTCTCAGACAGCTTGTAGGGAGTAAAATTGTCTACAAAATTAGACTTGTTAAATTAAAATCGGTTAATAAACAAAAAAGTTATTGCAAAAAAACAAGAAAAGTGCCCATTTTTTAATTTGTTTATAA